GCCCCTCCCCTCAATACGGATTCTATTTAGTATCTCTCAGTTATCAGCATTTTCCACGATGCCCATGATGCTCCGAGAGACTATGAATATTATGCACAAAAGCAATTATACCCTTGAATAATCGAATCCTCTTTGATTGAGTCAATTGAATTGATCGTTAATTAAACGGCCTTTAATTAAATTTGTTAAATTCAATTGTTAATTGAAAGGTCTTTTAATTTTCTTCTCTTACGTTAATTATCAATTAAATGATTTTTAATTGAAAAGTCAATCGTCAATTAAACATTCCTCGATATAATTTGCTTGAATAAATTGCTAATTAGTTAAATTAAAACATATTTATTCAAATCAATTATTAAAATGAGAATTTTAATGATTTGATTTACTCGTTATTTTGAAATTGACGTCATTGTGAGTTTTTGTTCTACTTGGGTAGAAACTATTATTAACATAAAAGTGTTGTTATCCTTACTTAAAATTAAGAAAAAAAGCAAAGTTGCTGAATTTACTAAGGTTGTGAATTTTCTTCAAGTCTTTTTTATTAGAATAATTTTTATTCTAATAAAAGAGGATTTTTTATTAGAATAAAAAATCTTCTAAACCAGAATAAACCGAGATAGTTTAATCAAATCCGAGACAAAAATTGAAAAACCGGGACTCTCCATGGAAGAACAGGACATCTCATTAACAGGTCATTAACAGTTTTAACACTATATATATAGTTCTTGCAATCACTCAGCTTTAGTTGTAATAGCTAAAAAATAGTTTATTAAACTATATACATTATTTCTACATATACAGAAGACATATAGTTGTCATATATATATTATAGTTACCATTATCATATCTTTTTCCCCAAATATGTATATTCAAAAGATTAAAACGAATAATAAAATTTAGTAATTGCTACCATATAAATTATCTACTCTATTACTAACAAATATAGAATTATTCATTTATTGTGGTTTATTGTTAGAGAACAAATTGTATAAATACTGTACTGTAAATTACTAAATTACTTGACAGTTCTGCTAATTAATTATCAATTAGTTTAATCGAAACTTGATAAAAGTCACGCTGAAAATCTCTCTCTTTCATCCGAAATCACAGCAACCAAGAGACCATAAAGCATCGATTACACTTACACGCGTTTCGTCTGTAAATTAAGAGCAAACGCCGCAAGAGAAAGATTACCTCGGTCGAATGCAAATACTAATGATGAAAATGCATGAGGATGCAAAGAGGCGGAGTCTCCTAATAACGTCATCAACTGGCAGCAGGAACTTTGTTCTCTCTCTCTCTCTCTCTCTCTCTCTCTCTCTCTCTCTCTCTCTCTCTCTCT